CGGATAGCCATATCATGAACATTTGGAGGTAAACAACTTCGAAAACTCCTGGCGGAATTTATTGTACTATAAGAGTATTCTTTATCAAAGCCCGGTGAGAAATTCCAAGACAAGTGTAACTGAAAAGGTATCAGGTATGTGAACATTACGTAGATTTGCGAACTACAATTTCTAGCCACTTTTCATATGCGAATCGTACTTATTTTTAAATTTAATTTTTTTATAGTTGACCCTCTCCAAGAGTTCATAAGAACTGGTCGTGTAGAGTTGGATTTCCCCCAAAGCCACCCCCTCCCCGGAATCTGTACCCCAGACTAGGATTTCTCCCGAGGAAAAATTTCACACTAGAGTCAAATTTCCCCCTCTTTCTGTCCCAGAATAGGATTTCACCTCTTTTATCATTGCTTAAACCATTCTTCTGGCTAAAAGGTTAAATGAAAGCAACTGATATTTTAATAGAAATATGAGTCTTTTCGACTCAAGAATTATCAAATTTAGTATGAAATCTTGCTAAATTGCTGTACTCCCAAAGTTGTCCTTTCCAAATGAACCGCATGATTTTTTTTCTATTTAAATCTCATACTGCAACAGTGTAATAAGCGTCTTTTTAAAAATGTGCTGTCACCTATAGGAAGAAATACCGTTGAAATAAACTGGTCATCACGGAAAACAGGTTCCCGAATCACACCTTTGTTTTTCAATTTTTGTATTTCACATTCCAAATACATTGCCTGTGCGCTGTTCACAAATGTTTCTCTAGCAGAGTTTTAAGGTGCATAGACACAGATTTGAAGTTTATATTTTCTCAAATTCTCTGTATAATATCATTATAAGTATTATAATATTATAATACTTATAAGTTGCTATAGCATTTCACACGAAAATAAAATTAAAAACTTATTTAATCTGGAAATTATTGAAACTACGAATTTCGGGAGGAGTTTGATTAACACATCCTTGCACTTTCACAATTTTTAACTTTATCCTTAATACGTACGAAAAGTAGCAATTTTGTTGTGTATTAATAAATAATATTACATCTATGATCCAGAAAATTCAGAGTAAAAATGTGTGAAAGCAAAACCCACTCACTTAAGTATTGTCAGCCCGTGCTCAGTGTTGTGTAGTTGTGTACAGAGTTTAACAAATTGAATACACCCGTGAAACGTAAACTGTTTTTGTAAACAGGGCACGAGCTCTGTTGTTGTACATGTTTACATTTCACCGGGTGTGTTCAATTGTTAAACTCTGCACACACCACTGAGCACAGACTGACAATACTGGTGAGAGGATTTTGCTTTCTACATTTCTACTCTGAAATTTCTGCATTATAGTTTTAATATTTTTCATTAATAAACAACAAAATTGCTACTTTTCTAAAGTAATAAGAATAAAGTTAAATTTGTGAAAGTGCAAGGATGTGTCTATCAAATGCGTCCAGAAATTCGAAGTTTCAATAACTTCCAGATAAAATAATATTTTTATCAAATTTTCGTATGAAATGCTATAGCAACATATAAGTCATGAAATTATACAGAAAATTTGAGAAATTTGAAAATTAACTTTAAATCTGTGTCTAAGCACCTTTAAAGAAGGAATCAATGGAAATTCTAATTTGTATCCAGACTTAATATCTAATATATACTGTAGTGTCCGTATGAATTTTATATAACTTTTTAACATATACTCGTATATATATATATATATATATATATATATATATATATATATATATATATATATATATATATATATATATATATATATATATATATATATATATATATATATATTTGAATAATGATAATAATAATGACAAAAGTATGTTACTGTGTTGAGTACCTGAAGTGTACTGTAAAACGAAACAGTACAATTCACATTAATATGTACATATACTCACATATTGTAAACAAATACATAAAAATTATCTGTAAAATTTGAATGCTGCTACAAGCAGTATCAAAGTTGATACTGGAAAAAATAATTTTGCAAGGCTAATGAGAAAAAGCCGGGAAAATTAAATTGAAATCTTGTTAATCATGTCTCAAAGCATTTGAGAAAACATCTATAACTGTGTCTTTTTTCAGCCTTGTATTTCAGTTTATAAAATTGTTATTTTTTTAATTCAAGGTAAAAGCCACGGAAGCCCCTTGAGGCCAGTTCAGAGAATAAAATATTTTTTATTGCGTTTAAACGCAATAATTATTACGTTTAAACACGAAAGATTGTGTTTAATTGCAATAACCATTGCTATTAAACGCAAAAAACTGCGTTTACTCGCAATGTACATTGCATTTAAACGCAACACACTTTGCGTTTAATAGCAAAAGATTGCGATTGAACGCAATCTTTTGCGTTTAAACGCAATAACATTGCGATTAAACGCAGAAGTTTTTTGCGTTGAAATGCAATAATATTTTTGCGTTTAAACGCAATAATTTTTACATTTAAACGCAATTATCTTTGCGTTTAAACGCAATAATCTTTGTGTTTAAAGGCAATCAATGGACTCACGCATACCGATATCTTTTATTTCTTTCTCTATATTTTTTTTCTTATTAGGAAATTGTTATTGTCTGACTTATTAGAATCAGATTTCTCCGAGCAAACGCTCTCTGAGAGGATAAATCACTGAATCGAGGAGAAAAAAAATGTCGGATTGTAAAATCAAAGGCAACCTAAGAACGAGACATGTCTTAACTTATTAGATCTCTATATTCTTAACGAAGTTTTGGTCAGTTGCTTTGTTAAAAAAACTATCCCCTAAAAACGTTGAACCCATGTATAAAGGGGTTCAGGAAACGACTGATGAAATGTTGAATTGCATACAACATGATGGAGTATTTAGACTTAACGAGGCCGAGTCTAATTATTTCTACCCTAGAGATTTTGATAAATTTTCTTGAATTAATTTTTACTATTATATTTATTGTTCTAATATTAAAAAAAACGAATGTTTACCGTCCCGATTTCTTAGGGGGCCATCTCAAAAATTGTCAAATTTTACTTTTGGACCCTATGGGAATTTGTTGGAAAAGCGCCAAATTATCACATTTTTTTCATATTTTTGGTATTTCTGCCCTAGAGATTTCTTTTTCAGCCAAGTACATGAAAGTTATTGTAAAATGTCACCAAATTGTGACATTGAAAAAAAGTTGACCAATTTGGTTGGTGTAGGAATTATTACAAAGTTTATTTTTTCAATGCCCATTACCTCTAAAATTGCCAGATAGCGGTATATGTATATATCGGTGCAGATGAATTACCGGCGCAGATGAATTATTTTGATAAAAAATAGCAATGTATGTTTCTTTTGATGTTCTGTCAACAGTTTTTAGTCAATATCCATGGACGTCTTGAATATACAAGCGAGTCATGTGTCATTCTTCAGCGTCGTGTATTGCTTACAAAATCGGAAAACTGTGACGTCGTTTGAGCCATTTCAGCGGGTTTTTTCCTAATTATTGTCGTAAAAACACAATTTCAGACCCATAGGTGTTACAGATAAAGTTAATTTTGTATGAAAATCACAATATTTGGGAAATATGAAATGTCACAAATATGACTGCATGAAATTAGAAAGCTGCGCAAAGTCATGCGCACTCGAATTAGACTCGGCCTCGTTAAATGTATATTCGCACAACCCTTCCTATGGTTGCATACAGTAAACACAAGAACATAGGTGAATATGTAATCATGCATTTGAGACCAGAATCAAATGGATGTGTACTACCAAATTGACAAGTGCTATTAATACCACTGAAACATTCTCTATAAGTTGTGATACGTAAGCAATTGATCAAAGGCTTCATTAAGAATGTTGGATTCTAATACAGTTAAGACATTCAGATTGTTAAGATGCCATTGTTTTACAACAATTTTCAAAAACTGGAAAATTTTGCAAAAAGACACAAAACAATCGGATCTCCTTTGAATCTCTGATCCCAGTAATTGTAAGCTTTGGCTAATTGATGTCTGATATTGAAACTACGGCATCTTTGTGTTTAAATGGAAAACAAATCATTATAAAGAAGGATTATTGCGTTTAAGCGCAAAAATTGTTGCGTTTAATCGCAAAAATAAACGCAAAAAGTACTGCGTTTAATCGCAACATTATTGCGTTTAAACGCAAAAGATTGCGTTAAATCGCAATTTTTTGTGATTAAACGCAAAGCATATTACGTTTAAACGCACAGAATTTCGCTTTTAAAGGCAATTATTTATGCGATTAAACGCAATCTTTTGCGTGTTTTTTTTATATATACCCGTGTAAAATTCTGTTAATCCATAGTGGTCCCACCCAGGGGGTCATGAATTGAACAAACTCGAATCTACACGTTGTCAGGAAGCGTTCATATAAGTTTCAGCTTTTCTGCCCCAGTGGTTCTTAGGAGGAAGATTTTTTAAATGACTCAATCCAATTTTTTACATAATTATCTCCCCTTGTAAAGGGAAGTGGCCCTTCGTTTGAACAAACTTGAATTCCCTTTACCCAAGGATACTCTGTGCCAAGTTTGGTTGAGATTGGCCTAGTGGTTCTGGAGAAGATGAAATTGTAAAAGTTTACGACGACGGACGACAACAACGACGACAGAAAACGGACAAATTTTGATCAGAAAAGTTCCCTTAAGCCTTCGACTCAGGTGAGATAAAAAGGAAGTAAAAGGACAAATCCAGTAAAAACCTTTAATAATAGGTATATAAAATCAGAAACATTTTAAACTTAAAATTAGAAATATATAATTTATATTTTAACAATGCAATCACAGCTGATGATTTTAACTGTATATTTTTGTTTTAACTGCTTTTACATTAAGCATGAACTTTAAAGAATTCAAAATACAATGTATAGAACATGTCCCAGTGGACTTGATTTCATTCAAATGTCTTTGAACATGTCTCATGATACATTCTCTGGTTATAAGTTACTGACGTCGAAGTATACTGATTCAAAACTTGTTCAAAACTTATGAACAAGGATAACGTTGCAGACAAAAAAGAACAGAACCATCTCCTTCCCCTAATCGTTGATCTTGGAGCATAAAAAGAGTTTTATTGAGCCAGCTTCTGTAGAAGAGTAAGCGATGGTTGACCAGCAAATATGACCACTAAGATACCGATCATAATGCCGCCCATGAGGTAAGGATCCATTGGTTGTCGTGGGTGACACCGCCAGACATCTTCATCATCCCCCTTAGGGCAGTTCTTATGTCCGTCACAATATAATGTACCATTAATGCAGAGTTTAGTACCAAAGCACTGCCAATCTCCAGTATTACAGGGTTCTGTATGAAAAGGAAATTATTAACAAAGTACACTGTATATTTCATTAGATTTAATTGAAATACTTGGTTTTTTCAGCAAAGGTTCAATTTATTTAGTTTGTAAACTATTTACCTGTAGAATGTTTCTTGCCTAAAAAATCCATACAATATCATGGCGGATTTAGAGGGGGGTCTGCCCCCCTCCACCTTGAATATCTACATAATTAATAAATGAATTTTGCGGTATGGGTTATTACATTAATTATACCTAAAATTTAGCTAAAAATAAGTCAAACAACTGTTTCAAATAACTTCTAAAATCTTCGAGTTTCGAAGCCCCTTGGGCCCCCATCCTGACCCCCAACTGCCCCCCCCCTTTTCAAGAATCCTGAATCCGCCACTGAATACATGTATATACATTATACAATGCATAGAATTCTGTGCTCCATAAAAAGTTACTCCTATAACACAAGCCTTTGGATAGCTTAAATCCGACTTTAAAAAATTGGGGTGTATAAAAAAGATAAAGGTATGGAACTCCTTACATGAACAGAGGTACCCACTTTCGTTAATACTTTTGAATCGAATGCCCTAAAGTTTTACTTTCTATTCATATCTATTCATATATAATCAATCTACATTACTACCAAAGTTCATTCCGAAATTCCCAAGATTCCTGAAATATGGTGAAATCAATTCCAAAATTGACCTACTTTTTTACTCGACATTAGCTTGGGCCCTGGTTATTCACATGTATACAGACGGTGTTTGAACTGCAGCGAAGAGCTGCATAGTATTTGCACAATCTTTTTTTACTCCAGATCGTAAGTTTAAGTCATAATCTTAGGGTGTGTGTATCATCCCCTCGACTCTAGGGTCAAGGTCAATAGGACTAAACATTCGGGATATATATTTTCGGAACCCTTGTTTTTATTGATCTCAGGTTTTTGTATTCTAAATGGTCAATATAGAGTGTACTTGTGTTGTAAATGACCGAATGTCATCGACTGCATATATGATATGGAAATTGTATCATACTTGGGTAAGTTGACGTGACTACGAGCTGAAAGTTACATGTATCGTTGAATTCTTCTAGGAGGAGTTCCAATTTCAGGTTTTCTCCTTTAAAATGTTGTAAACTTTTAAATCTCTTCACTAGACCACATTCATGCACTTCAAGAATAAAAAAAAATGTCATTGAATTATTTTATGTGCAACCAGTTACTAGTATGTGATTTAGTAATACATGTACATCTAAGCAACTTTCAAAAGCAAATCGGTTTTCCATAGCCTTTTTTCGTCTTTTACAGTATACAATGCTTTGAAGAGTATTTTTAATGCTATGTAACTCTGTATATATCTTTGTTCATCTATTTTGTTTAGCTTTCCTAAAATACATCTTCTTGCAAAAATCTCTTACAATGGAGAAGAAAGGAAAACTAGTGATATGTTTCCTACCATTACAAGAATAATTGACGCAGAAGTCCAGCTGAGGCCTCTTCCAAGAGCAGTTAACTCCATCCCCCATTTCTAACATTTCTATATTAATCTGGATGCTGTGGTTTGTCACGGTGTGAACCGGAAGTGAACAGTTGAGTGATGGCGGATATTCAGTTGCATTTCTACGGGCTTCTATTATTACTGCCTGTTTTATTTCTAGAGACTGATTTCCACAGTTTTCGAACATGTACACGGTTTCTGATAAATAATAATACGAAATAATAAGATTATGGTATTTATGTAAAGTTTAAAATAGGTATAACCATTAACGGATGATTTATAATTGAAACTGATAAACACCATCATACATATAGTTAATTACCATCTTCGATATCAATATATTTTGCGGAAGAAATAAGATATTATATATTATTATCAATGATTTTCCTATTTGAGAGCTTGGAATTCAATTAAACAGACTTTGAGCAATAGGGATTTCTATAATTTCACATTATTGTATTAAATCTTTTTCACTTCTCTGCTCAGATTTTATTCTATCTCATCAGAAATAATGTCAACATCTTGTAATTTTCAATTTTTTTCTCTCTCTCTTTCATTTTTAGAAAGTATATACACAGATTATTTCATTAAACCAACAGAGATGATGAATTAAGAAAAGCATCATTAATTTTCCTACCCGGGCTATATAAAGAGTTATCCAGAATTTGACAATTGGCATCACAAATGAGGAAAAAGACAGCCAGGAAATGTTTTTCGTCCATCTTCTTTCTTTGACATTCGATCTTATCGTTTTAATTTCCAAATTTTACTTCAATTTCTATGTTTTTGATCGTAGTGAAGATTTATTGGTGAACAAAACGATTTACACGTTAATGTCTCAGTATCCTGATTCCACAGTCATTACATGCTTCGTTATCCTGTCAACGTTTGTATGTGCATTGAACATAAAAAGCAAGAAGCAAAGGAGATTTAAACTCTTTATAATATGCCGTGCGTTAATAAAATCCCAGTCGTAACTTGAAACGGGGAAATAAACACTTAAATATTTCCAGGAGATATGATAACTTATTCCAAGGGTAATAAATTGATGAGTAAGGAGGGAAAAAAACTTGATACACAGATTTCTGAACAGATGAAAAATTGGGCACTTTCTACATGCTGTTATTGAGAGATGCGGAGGGACGCACAAGGACATGTACGTTTCTGATGTTATTCGGTTACAAATAGCAATCTGATTAAAATCAGATCTTTGTTACGCTCCGAAATTCTGATGGTCGCTGTACAAAGCGACCATCAGAATTTCGGAGCGTAACAAAGATTTTAATCAGATTGTTACAAAAAGCAATATTATGTTGGCAGGAAATATTCCTTACTCTTTACAAAGGGCATGGACGTACAGTGTTTTTGTATAAAACTATGATAGAAACAGTAGTCAATTAGAAAAAAGGTTTAGTCACTATCATGACAATTTTCTTAAAGAAATAAAGCTGTCATTTTTTTTCTTGAGACGCTCATCGATCATCAAGTATGGAGACAAATCTTAGAACATGAGACTCTGACCGATCAATTAGAGATACCAAAATTACAGGGGTGTGATAGTATAAAAGTATTACATATGGAATAACCATCGTTGACCGATGCGAAGCCGAGGTCAACAATGGTTTTTTTTAGGGATAATTTCACATGTATCCCTAAATAAACATGTAATGTATTTTTATTTTTGTTGTTATACTGAATGTATTTAGAATACATTTAATTAAAGGAAAATGTCACGGAAAACCGACATCACAAATTGTGCGCATTGTTTTTTTTATACTTTAACCCGTTGCCATGCATTTTCAACCGTTATGGTGTAATGTTACCAGGAGGATATTAATATAATCCGTAAAAACAAATTTTAATAAATATTTGTGGGAAGACAATATCTCAAATTTTACTTCTGTACGCTAAACATTTTTATCCTGTTATCCATATGCTAATTAGGTATACATGTATCTTTATCCATTAGACTTTAAGGCATTCTTTGCAATTTTTATTGCGTATTTTCTTTGATATGTTTCTTCTTTTTTTAAATTTAATTCTAGAAAAAAAAAAAAACAAAAAAATATGTTATCAGTAATGAACAGGAATTGCCACCGAGATACATGTAGATTGGTAAAGCACTGTGCTGTACTTTAATTTTTTCTCCCTCCCTCGCTCTCGAAGGGTACTAGTATGTTGTTTGAATCGGCCGGGTGGTATGTCGGTAGAAAACTAATTTCCGGACATTATTAAGAGAATTCTTCACTTAGATATTTCATGAAGCTTCATACACAAGTTAGTCATAGTAAGGAGGTGCCCCCTATGGATGTTCAGGTCAAACGTCAGCAGAATTTGGGGTTCTCTATATTCCAAGCCAATTACTGACCAGTTAATGTACTGAAGACCGTTTCCATCAAAGTAAATTCAGAGGTTGGCTTTAACAAGTAGTTGGGGTAAGGTGCACATTTATTTGGTGTATTTATGTTGAGTATACTATTCACTTTTTTACAACAAATGTCAGAAAAAAGTATTCTAAATTCAATTTAATAAATATCAAATACGCTCAGATGCTTTCATATCGAAGGGGAAAGCTACAATTTACTTTTTTCAACAAAACTAGGGACGGCATTCCGATAAAAATGACGAGTAAGATGAAAATGACGAGGAATATCATGAGGAAAATGTTCATTGGTTGTTTCGGGTGACAGCGCCATCTATCTTCATCTTCGCCGTTGGGACAATTTTTGTGACCATCACATAACAGCGTTCCGTTGATGCAGTAACTGTCAGTCGCAGAGCATTTCCAGTCTCTGGGTTTACATGGAGCTAAAAGTAAAACGTCAAAGTAAAAAACTGTAGGAGAATATTTCAAACTCATTATAATTATCTGTTTCAATATTTTAACATTCGACAATAAATATATATGCGTCAAATACGAGAAAGTATGGCATGTCAAACGTTGCAATATTCAATCTTTTCCATTTGTATTGTATAATTTTCCATTTGTACTGTAAAATGTTCATTTCTAATCTAAAATTTTTCATTTGTATTGTATATTTTTTCATTTGTATTGTATAATTTTTATTTGTATTCTATAATTTTCCATTTGTATTCTATAATTTTTCATCTCTATTGTATAATTTTTCATTTGTATTGTATAATATTTCATTTGTATTGTATAATTTTTATTTGTATTCTATAATTTTCCATTTGTATTCTATAATTTTCCATTTGTATTTTTTAATTTTTCATTTGTATTCTATAATTTTTCATTTGTCTTGCATGATTTTTATTTGTATTCTATAATTTTTCATTTGTATTGTATAACTTTCATTTGTATTCTATAATTTTCATCTCTATTGTATAATTTTTCATTTGTATTGTATAATATTTCATATGTATTGTATAATTTTTATTTGTATTCTATAATTTTCCATTTGTATTCTATAATTTTCCATTTGTATTTTTTAATTTTTCATTTGTATTCTATAATTTTTCATTTGTATTGTATGATTTTTATTTGTATTCTATAATTTTTCATTTGTATTGTATAATTTTTCATTTGTATTGTATAATGTTTCATTTGTATTGTATAACTTTCATTTGTATTCTATAATTTTCATCTCTATTGTATAATTTTTCATTTGTATTGTATAATATTTCATATGTATTGTATAATTTTTATTTGTATTCTATAATTTTCCATTTGTATTTTTTAATTTTCCATTTGTATTTTTTAATTTTTCATTTGTATTCTATAATTTTTCATTTGTATTGTATGATTTTTATTTGTATTCTATAATTTTTCATTTGTATTGTATAATTTTTCATTTGTATTGTATAATGTTTCATTTGTATTGTATAACTTTCATTTGTATTCTATAATTTTTCATTTGTATTGTATAATTTTTCATTTGTATTGTATAATGTTTCATTTGTATTGTATAATTTTTATTTCTATTGTATAATTTTTCATTTGTAGTCTATAATTTTTCATTTGTATTGTATAATTTTTCATTTGTAATTATATAATTTTTATTTGTATTCTAAAATTTTCCATTTGTATTGTAACATTTTCCATTTGTATTGTATAATTTTACAATACAAATGGAAAGTATACAATACAAAAGGAAAATTATACAATACAAATGGAGAATTATAGAATACAAATAAAAAAATTACAATACAAATAAAAAATTATACAATGCAAATAAAAATGTTACAATGCAAATATAATAGAATACGAATGGCACAGTTTACAATACAAATGAAAAATTATACGATACAAATAGAAAATTATTCAATACAAATGGAGTTATAAGAGAGAAAGTAATCCCATCTTAAAGATGAAGCGCTTTGATTTTTTGAATTACTTTTTCACTTGAAATAAATTTTTCCACGACCATCATCTGTTAATATATTGATAACTGAACCCACATAACTGTTTTTCATGGTCTTAAATACAACAAAAATATACAGAGGAAAAAGCTCTCGTATCAAAATGCACGTGAATTTACGTTCTATTTCCACTATGGAAGAGTTATACTTCTTAGTGCGCTCTTTTGTGAAAAAGTCGGAAAATGTACAAATCTCGCGGGATTTCAGGGACAAACGTTATATAAACATGTAAACAATATGTTGAATGTCGATGAACAAATCCTTAGAAAATGCAAATGAAATATTTTATTTTTGTGAACTTTATATACATCAAGAGTAGGAATGACAACGATATCAATTTATATCTATTGTTGATCGTACATGTATGTATCTATTTATCATATTGTACCTCTAAATACAATACACATGCCTCGGAAATGTCGTATTTTTTATTAATGGATGATAAATTTAGGGTTCTCGCTCTCTTACATATGTCTTTTAGTTATTCTATTCTTTAATTGGAATGACAAATACATTTAACATTTAAAACTGGATTGAGATTGACATGTTTTGTATTATCCGCAATGCCATGCTGTCCCAGTCAGACGACCAAACGCGCCTCTAATTTTGAAGAGTTCACTAATGGAAATATAACGTATTAAAACGTTGTTTTTTAAGTTTAATGATTTCAGTATCCTTTTATTATTATGTTTCCCTAAATATTAAAGACATTAAACCCATTTGTCTTCTGATGATGTGATTTTTTTACGTTTCAAGGAGAGAGAGAGAGAGAGCACAGGTACTTGTGGACAGGACCCCCCCCCCCCCCCGATATTCAACCCCGGGGCTTGTTGGACATTTTTTTTTCACAAATTATATTTATTACACTTATTCATCATGTGTACCATAGGAAAAAATCGTGAAAATCCCAAACTAATCGTTCCACACAAAAATACCCCCACTATACATTATAAGAGAGAAAGGTATGCCACTCCGGTTTGTTTACGTTATATTTACATCCACTGAATATTATTTCCTTTATTTCTTATAAAAACCATTGCGGTTAATCAGTCAGTAAACAACACTAAGCAAGCCACCTGCATAGATTTCTATAAAACTACTGTTCCATCAATTATGCATACAGTGACATTCACATCTATAATACAATTATATTTAATATATTTAATTTACTTTGAATGTTTTTTAAATAGAGATATAAATATAAACAGTAAAATGTCTTTCTTTATTTGTTAGTACGGGAATTAACGTCGCAGCTATTGCAGAAAAAAATTCACATAACCCGCTTACGCGGGTTATGTATTTTTTCTGCAACAACTGCGACATTAATTCCCGCACTAACAACCAAAGGAAGCATTTTATTGTTTAAATATATATGTACCCCCACTGATCTTTCTGGGTTTAAAAACATGTATTTATTTTGTTTTAACCTAAAATGTCGGTTCACACTGTCTCTACATATATTTCTGTCTCCGTTCATGCTATCGGATTGACTCTGCATCTCGTAAGAATCCCACAATTTCTCCTTAAACAGCACTACAGTCAATGCGTTGAAAAATCATAAAGTAAAGCATAGAGAATATATTACCTATTATGATAACACCCGAGAGATTTTATTACGTCATGCCAAAACTCTCTCGGACGTTATCTTAATAAGTGATACATTCTTGGTGTACTTCCGTTGCGTTTACCTAAGGATTTTTCAACGCACTGACTGCAATGCTGTTTAAGGATTAATTGTGGGATTCTTACGAGATGCAGAGTCAATCCGATAGCATGAACGGAGACAGAAATATATGTAGAGACAGTGTGAACCGACATTTTAGGTTAAAATAAAATAAATACATGTTTTTAAACCCAGAAAGACCAGTGGGGGTACAACGTAAACAACCGGAGTGGCATACCTTTTTCTCTTATAATGTATAGTGGGGTATTTTTTATGTGTAACGATTATTTTGAAGTTTTCACGATTTTTTCCTATGGTACACAAGATGAATAAGTGTAATAAATATAATTTGTGAAAAAAAATGTGCAACAAGCCCCGGGGTTGAATATCGGGGGGGGGGGGGGTCCTGTCCACAAGTACCTGTGAGAGAGAATTGTTTCAAGCATATTTCGTAGTTTGAGCATGTCATTTAACTGATGTTTCCGTTGAATTATACTACAAACAAATGCTAATTTTTCGATGGATTTATCCCCCCTTTTTTTTCTTTCAATATTTATAATCATGATTACTAAAGGAAAAAGTGGTAAATCTGTAAGAAGCAAAATCGTTATAATTAACTTTATACTGGTGACCCAACTCCATAGAGGGGTCAATTCTCCGGGACTAGTTTGTAATACATGTAGTTTTGGAATATACTTGACTGGCGAACAAACAAAGAATTTTTAAATGTTAAGCTGCTAAAAGAATACATTTACCTTGATATAATGACGTTGCTACAATCAGGAATTCGTCATGTGGTGTGATCTTTTTTGAGTGAAGCCGTATTTGAAATACATTGTTGGCAGTTATTGGTAGAAATTTTGATTTCTTCAGGGTGCCACATTCATGAGCTGTAGTGTAAAATGATATCTTTTGATTAAATACATGTACAAGGCCTTACTTAATACGGTGATCAGTGTCGAAGTCCCTTGGCAATCATTGTTGAGGTACAGATCTTTTACGGATTCATTTTCCGTTTTTGTTGAGAATTTACCTTAATTATAATGTTCAATTTCCCTAGACAATAAAGTAAACACTGCGCATGATGACTTCTGAGGATTAAATCTATATCAGACATTAACATTGACTGCACAAAATGTTTAATGCTTTGTACTACCCAAAATATCTTCCCGGAAAATGAAAAAAAAAATTATACGTGCATTTAGAAAATGTACTTATGTAAACTTGTGTCTGGTACACTATGAACTTATATTACATGCATTTGTGTGATTTTAATTTACAATAATACTTCCTTCTCCAAACCAAACAAATAAACAAACAAAACCCATGCGTTCCGAATAAATTGCAAGGAATGTTGAAGAAATTTTTTTTCCCTATATAAATAGATTACAAACCACTTCTCGCGAAGAAATGCATTTTTTTTTTCATACGAAATCATAGCAGAAGAAAATCAATGAACTTCCTTAACGATTTTGTTTCATATTGCACACAGAGAACGCAGATTTCACAAAGTAATGAAACTTACCTAAAAGTGACCATGGAACCTAATATCATCGACTCAAGTTGCGAGTCGGCTACTTTTAGACCATTACATTTTCGACATTATAAAAAAATGAATTAGACGAAAACAGTTGTCTCTTTTAAAAATTTAACTTCCGTACCGATAATTCAGGAATGTTACTGCATTAAAGGTATAAAAAAAATATTATTTTGGGAGTGAAATACTGCATATTTTTTATCAACATCTTAAAGCAAACGTTAATTTTATCTATTGCTAAGAATTTGGAAATTAACTTCCGTAACTATTACATGTAACTTCCGTAAAGATATTTCCCCCGAAATTTAACTTAATATCGGATTCATGCGAGACTTCAAAATTCATAAAATTTATACTGAAAATCAGAAAACGAAAAAAAATGGTCAAATTCAGCTTTATTTAAAAAATAATAAGATCTATTGAAGAATTAATTAACTTCCGTATCATTACCTTAAAACAAATGGCATATTGATATTGTTGTAAAAATTTAACGATACCAGATTTGTGGATAATTATTTTTTTTCAAGTGCACTGATACGTCCCTTAGTGAAATATTTTGTTCAACTGGCTATTTTAAACAATTATTTTTTTCTTCATATTATATACCCTGAATGGGTCCTTTTATCATACCGAATACCTGAATATTGGAAGGTCTTTTTGATCAATTATTTGTGCAATTAAGTTTTAGAATGATTTAGTTTCATATTATTCTGAGAGAAAATATTACGAACTCGTAAATCCTTTTTCGTGCGTGTTTGTGTCTGTGTGTGGGCGGGGTTGGGTGCGGGTGTCCCAACTTCTTTCACAACCAAATTTTATTCATCAGCCATTCAATGAACTTTTTTCAACAGTAAAAGGTTATGTTTGGAAAAGGGGGGGGGGGGTGGCTAGTAGGTTCCGCAGCCTACCTGATACTACGTGCCTGCGAAAAAATAGGAGCAAATACAAATTTTCAGGAGCAAGGCCAATTTTTTTAGGCTCCAACTTCATAAACTGTTTTTAAAACTTATGCTTATTGTTTTCCCTTAGACTTTAAAAGGATGTATGGTCATCAAGAATCAAAAGGACACTTGATTGCACGGGTGCTTGTGGACAGACCCCCCTCCTCCCGAATACACACACCCGGATCCAAGGATATATTTATTTGATTTCTTTTATAAATTATTCTTCTAGCACACATTTACAATTAATGTATTACTCATGTAAATTCCAAAAAATAACGTAGAATAAAATGTTTTAACGGAACGTTTATTCTATGTTTTTTTTTTTTTTGTTTTTTTTTTTTTTTTGTTTTTTTTTTATAATTTCCCTATAAAATACATTGTAAATGTGTGCTAGAAGAATAATTTATGAAAGAAGACAAATAAAAAATATCCTTCGACCAGGGGTGTGTTCGAGGGGGGAGGGATTCCTCTCTATTAGCAACTGTGCTCGATTGCAGAAAATTAAGTTTTCATGAGGACACTGCGACTAAATTAATCTTCAATTAGATCCATGGGTTCATCTTCTCGAGCTTTTCCGGCAATCTCGGAAAAACACCTCGAATGTATTTACATCACCAGGTGTTATTTCATACAAAATGGAGTCATTTCCTATTTATTAAAGTATTTGATAGCCAGAGTTGAGTTACCCTTCTGAAGTATATTTCAAGTAATATCTTTACATTCAATATAAAGTTAAGCTTCAGACTACACAGATAAAAGGTCCTCCTACATATACATGTATTTCAATGTTTATAAAATGGGTTGTCCTGGACGCTTAAGAAACACATGACATTAGAAGTATTTCGGCTTGTCGGAAAAGCCCGAGAAGTTGCGATTGCCATGGGCTGTATGCAGTTTAAAGGTGGATTAAACTATTCATTAAAAGAATGTGAATAACATATATATGTGATAAGTAATAAATGAGCACATCCCTGACAAAGAACATCATTTTTATGCAGAAATTTTTGAGAATTTTTTTTTCTACATATTTTCCTCAGGTTTGTACTACATACCAAAACAATCAGTCTTGTTTATGCAGAAGTCAAGGTGTGGTTTTTCCGGAGGACAATTTCCCCCTTTACCAAGGGTGAACTTTTCAATATTTATCAGAAAGTGCCGTTTCTTTTCCGTCTTCACAGTGCACGTGCATTTGTCTCCGTGTATTTCACGTTTACCGTTGACTTCAATAAGAAGTGCATTTTCTGTTGGGAGGTTCTTTCCACATGACTTGAGCATATCAACTATATTGCGGAAAGAAAATCAATTTTAACAATCTTTTTGGAAATTAGTTAGCAAAATAAACTTCCTTGTAACAATTATTTCAAATGTTTTTTAACTGTTTCCTTTTTATTAAATGTACATTACACATTATTTCTATGTAGACTACGTGTTAAACATAATCGATTACATTTTATTTCAAAACTATTTTGAATATTTAATTTATTCATTTTTTTTCTTCTCCTGACATTATTTTACGTAATGCATAATATGTTAACCCTACCTGTTTGAGGTCTTGCACTCTCTATAATTAAAATGTTGAACACTGCCATAATTAAAATTCCCATTCTTATCATGTCGTATCTAAATTTAACTTATCACATATGCATAATGGGCCTTTTTTCAAAGATTTGAGAATTGTGGGATTGACAAGGAAGTTCCCGTCCACCTGAGATAAAACTTTCACAGTCACTTGTCACACAAACATCGAGGATTTCAATAGTGAAAAAAAAATGCCAGTAAAATTCACAATTACATTTAACGTAAAGCAGTCAGTGTAAATTGCTCACTGATTATGTAGACTTATACAATCACTCTATTGCCTTTGAAACTTTTGATTATTTTTAAACGTCATCACATTGTGGGAATTTCTGAATGAACTTCCTCATTCTGTCCTTGGTCATTATTAAGAACAATGTTGAGGTAAGAGTTCAGGTGTTGGTTGAGTTCCTCATATCGCTCCACCACTTGTTTATTCTGAAGTCGGCGGTTCTCCAGCTGGAGCCGCTTCTCCCGCATGCGGTGGGTGAGGTGATCAACATGGATCCCGATGTTGACCAGACGATGGCAGACTCCCGACAGAAGCTTCTTTTTACCGCTGTACTCTTTTTCTAAATAATTTACTGAAAAAAGGTGAAAATTATAATAAATACATATATACGACAATCACTTCCACAGTTTTTGCTAAGAAACAACTAAATGACATTAATTTAGCTTCATCCTACATATTTTACCTCAACTGGGTTTCTCATACAAGTCTTCGAGTAAATTGAGTTCTTTTGTATTGAAGTGAAAAAAAATTATATACCCCTTAATTTTCCTTTCCTTAATAGCGCCCGTCTTCTCCTCTTTAGTATAGATGTTTTATTTGAAAACAGATCAAGGAGCTCCGAATATACTCGCTCTTTGCTTCGTATTTTCTTTTGCCAGGGACCAGAAGTTTGAATTGACATGTTGCTCTTGGAAACCTTTTCATCAACAATCACGTTCTTATTTTCCAACTTTCCGACATCTGAGATGGAAAAACTTATCTGGTAAGCGCCTGGATCATTTTTTTTATGTTACTTCAATATATTTACTAGATTACATAACAAGCTAAGTAAGCTATATATTATTTTTTCTTGTATGTAAAGCTGACGCACACACCCACACCCACACACACCCACACACATGTTTGACTGCACTTGTTCAATGAAAATGAAAGTTTTGAAATGTGTTAACATTCAGGTGCATTTTCAATATACATATACCGTATTATGAAAGAGGTCAACATAATTAATAATACAGGCTTTTCCTTGCGACTGATTCCATAAATCAACAAGAAGGACATTTGAATGCACATGTATCATAAATAATCGCGATCTGATTCTATAATAATGATAAAATTATGCTTACAAATAATGATTAGCTGAATCGAAACTTCGGTCAAGGCTGCGCCTAGAAGTTTCAGAGAAATATGCATCTGAAAACAGAATAAATTATAAATATATTATCTACAATAAATCGTATGATTAACAAGTTTGAGTTTTTTTATGTGCACATTGCTTTCGATAGGTTTGTGGACCTTATACATGTAGTATGATTATAATCCACGGTGTAGACTCGATATGAACTATAATCCACCTTGACTTGGTAACTTGATTAGAGAGTTGATTTCCCTCCACTCTGTGTAGTAACTTTTGAGTTTGTATTGGGAGGGCCCAGTAAATATTTTCGCAAGCCTCAGAATGGTTTCAGTTAATTAATACAGGTCCGTAACAACAGTTTCAAAGGGAGGGGGGGGGCTCAACAAAAAAATGTCCAAGGGGGGGGGGGGCAACTTCCCAAAATAATTTGATGACGAAAAAAAATCCTTAACTGTCCATTTCCTGAAATATGCCAGTGCTCGATCGCGACCTTACAGCAACAAAGGGTGGGAGTGGGGTGGGAGGGGGTGGAGGGACAACCATCATCGAGAGGTAAATTTACTATAGCAAAATTCTTTACTCAGAAAAAAAGCCCCCCCCCCCGCCATTTTCTGCTTACTATATAGACGCTCAATATCTTAGATTACATTAGTACTGCTGCAAAACTGATATCAGTACTACAGTCACTAGTGGGTTGTCTTTGCATTTATTTATTACTGTTTATTTTAAACAAGACACATTTCAAAAAAGGGGTATAAACTTCTTCATTATATACAAAATGAAAACAAATAACAAATTGAGAGAATTGTGGTCCCCGCTTTTGGGGTCTTAGTCAGGTCAACATTCAAGGTCATGAATAAAAAATTCAGAAAGCATTCGGAAAGATCTTGTCACTGAAAAAAATGCGTATATGTTAAATCATAGAAAAGCCTATCTCACGACTTCTCTCATTCTAGAGTTATGACCAAGTATATGCCCGCGCTTTCTCGAAAGCGGGGCAATAACGATCTATGGTATTTTCCATGTTTTTACATAACATGTGCATCAAGCAGGATATGATTGGGTTTTTTATCTTTAATATTATCGATTTAATTGTTAAAAAAATAGTAATAGTATACATTGACATATTCTAGAAATAATAATTCAACTTACAATACTGTGTAAAGCACCCGACGTAAATTCCTGCAGACTGTTTAGAACACGGAGAAGTAAATGCCAAACCATTTGCAAAATAGCATCGGTAAATGTTGGTCTGACAAGAGAGTCCAAATACTCCACCGCCTTCAGCAATTGGTTCATTATACTTATGGAGAGAAAAGCTTCTGACATAGAATTTTTTCATGCATTGCATAAACTTTAAAACTTGAAATTTTATAAAATCTTTCATTAATATAAAATCCGTTACATTATCTTCATTTAAAAAAAAAGATTGACGTCAGGATAACTATGCAAAATGACGTCACAATAGATTAATATTTTGAATGAAAGAAGCTATATTATAGATTTATATCAAGCATCTTAAAGTTGGAGTCTTGTCAGCATTTCAAGTTCAATAATCTATTTATGAGAAATCCAGCTTTAAACAGCACATACACGTGTTGGTTACTGAATTTTGTTTTATTTTATATTTTATTTCTTGACATGTACATTTTCTGAAGAATAATTTGAACTCCGATCCCACTTCATCGGTTCCTTAATCTTCTATAGAAATTGTCAATATTAATTAATTAATAATCTCTTTCAATTCGTCAAAAAATTATGAAGACATAGCAATGGGATCATGCAATATAAATCACATTTTAAAAAAAAATCAATCGCTCATTTTCCTATTTCGCGAAAACACAGGTTTGTAGATATATTTGTAGAAAATAATATATCCGCCTTTTGGATTGGATTGGAAAAGAATATTAAATGATTTATATATCTAAAAAAACATTTTAAGGAAATTACTATTTTGCCCATATCTAATCAGAAGTTAACTAATTTAAACATATTGGCCATCCCCTGTAATAAAAAAAGTGGAAAGTTTCTGTCAAATATATATGACAAGATATTTATAGTTTGCTGCACACAACTGGCTTGTGGCACGTCAAGTTAAGGTCGTGTAAAAGTAAGTTTTATCTATATAGACTTGTTATAAAATTCCTTTGAAAAATTCAACTTATTAGAAATTTCCTCACTTGTTTAATATATCGTTTAAAAATTTGTATTTCAAAAATATGCTTTGTAGAAAATGATCTAAAGGCAATAGCTTGTAAGGGACAAACCCCGGGTACAATTTTCCTCTTTTGTTTAATGTTTTTATTCTATTTTTATTGCATGTGTAATTTTACAGTTGTTTTTGCTTTTTTTTTTTTTTTGTATAATTTTCTTTTAAAAATAAACAAATATGGTAAATATACCGTGGAAAATGGGACTGACCAGAATTATCGAATGAGAACCATTCACTTTGTATCTGATTTCTGATGTATTAATGGGGTACATGCAAATATTTCTTTTAATTTAAAAAAAAAATCTGGATCAATCTTGAGTTTGTCACCTACCTCTTCCCTTCTCATCCGCCAGTTCTAATTGTATACTTGTAATTACAGTTGCTGACAACAATATATATTCCCCCTTTCGACTAAAAATTAAAATGTCGAAATCCCCCCTCCACTATATAATTTGATGATACAGCGTGGCAAAACTAGTCGCAAAACCGTTATAAATTACATAATTTTAGAATTCAAAACACAATTTTAATGTTAGCGGATTCAAACTTAATTGTTATTCTGTTGACAGCCCGATGTTTGTGACTCATTAATAATGTAGAAAACATCCGTGAAATCATTAAATAGGTAATTATAAATTCAAAATTTTGAATGAAACTTGTTCCGTTTAATTTATATAATTATACATTTTTCAAAAAAATACCGGTATTTAGTGCACTGTGATCTCGACCACGTGGAGGAAATACCACAAAATTAAATCAATGCACGAACGCAGAATTTTCTATCCTACAAGGAATAGAAAATGCTCGTGGAAATTTTAGTCACAATTTTTTTAAAATTCATTTTTCTTTCCTAGTTTCAGCATTTGTTTGTTTTTGTTTATTTTTTGTTTTTCTTTTTTGGCTTGTTTAGGTTTTGTTTGTTTGTTTTTGTTGTTGTTTATCTTTCAAAATAAAAATAATATTTTCTTCTAAATAATTATCTCAAACTACTTTCAGATGAGAAAATTACATTTCTTTCAAGCTATTCTGGGACTTCTCTTTGCCATTCGAACAAACGCCATGATTTGGGAAACAGACATGCCAAATCTTTTAAAGCAATGCTATGAGCAGTTCACACAAGGACTCACCGTCGGAGACATTCCGGGTCATTCTGTACAAAGTTACTGTCTGAGTAGCTATATCTGGCAAAGCCCACATCTTAGACATCAACTAAATTTGACTGAGAGCCAGGTCAACTATATTCGATCCTTTTACAGAGAGTACCAACATAGGCTTCGTAACACAAGACGTCACAAACGACAGGCGCAACGCGCCTTCCGGCGAGAAATACGAGTCCTGGATGATGCAGAAAGGCAGCGATTTTTTAATGCCCTAGCAGCGTTGAAAGAAAACGGGGTAAAGAAAGGTGTACTTGTAAAAAAAAATATAATAATAAAAACATGGTCATTTAGTTTACCTGATGTCGCAAAGGCATTTGATTAATTAAAGTAGCGTTGCAGAAATATAGTTCGTGATAGAGAATCAGGAAAGGCGATTTAAATTTCTGTGTAGTACATTGAACGATAATTGATCCCTTAATCGGAGGAAGATTACATCCTCCATTTTGCTGTTTTTTAATCAAAGAACTATAAAATTCCTAAAAAAAAAGAGACTACATGTACTAATTAAGCTTTGCACTTTTCAGTACTTTAAATTCTTCACGTTATAGACATTCTAAATTTAGGGTTGATCTTTTTAGCTCACCTGAGCCGAAGGCTCAAGTGAGCTTTTCTGATCGAAACTTGTCCGTTGTCTGTCGATCGTCGTCGTCGTCGTAAACTTTTCACATTTTCATCTTCTTCTCAAGAACCACTGGGCCAATTTCAACCAAACTTGCCACAGAGTATCCTTGGGTAAAGGGGATTTAATTTTGTTCAAATGAAGGGCCACACCTTCTTCCAAGGGGAGATAATTATGATTTTGCAAAAAATTAATGGCATCATTTAAAAATCTTCTTCTCAAGAACCACTGTGCTTAAAAGTATGAAACTTTTGTGGAATCATTGTGATGTAGTGTAGATTCAAGTTTGTGCAAATCATGACCCCCGGGAGTAGGATGGGTCCACAATGGGTGGGTGATCAAAGATTTACATAGGAATACATAGGAAAATCTTTAAACATCTTTTTCTCAAGAACAACAAAGCCATGATTGGTCATATTTATATGGAAGCATCCTCAGGTAGAGTAGATTCAAGTTTGTTCAAATCATGACCCCGGGGGTAGGGTGAGGCCACAATGGGGGATCAAAGTTTTACATATGAATACGTAGGAAAAATCTTTAAAAATCTTCTTTTCAAGAACAACAAAGCCATGATTGGTCATATTTATATGGAAGCATCCTCAGGTAGTGTAGATTTAAGCTTGTTTCAATCATGACCCCCGGGGGTAGGGTGGGGCCACAATGGGGGATCAAAGTTTTACATAGGAATACATAGGAAAAATCTCTAAAAATCATCTCAAAAACAACACAGCCATGATTATTAGACATTCATATGAAAGCATCCTCAGGTAGTGTAGATTCACGCTTGTTCAAATCCTGACCCCCGGGGGGTAGGGTGGGGCCAAAATGGGCGATAAAAGTTTTACATAGAAAAATCTTTCAAAATCTTCACAAGAACAACAAAGGCAGGATTGGTCATAATAATATAAAAACATCCTCAGTTAATGTAGATTTAAATTTGTTCAAATCATGACACCTCCCCCCCGGAGAATAGAGGGACCATAACAGGGGATCATATTTTATTCAAGGGAATATAAAGGATATATATCTATAAAAATTTTCATCTTATTAACAGCAAAGTAATTATGTGTCATATTAATTCAAAAGCATCCTAAGGAAGTTAGATTAAAGCTTGTTCAAATCATAATCCCAACTACTTTCAATTTAAACTTTTCAAAACTGAACTGATTTCTGCTTTTTCCAAGCCAGGGTGCTCAGGTGAGCGATGTGGCCCCTGGGCCTCTTGTTAATATTGTCAAACAGGGGCATATGATGTTTTTTTTTTATACATTTCTTGGTTCAATTTGATTTCAGTTTTACGATACTTGGGCTAGTGTCCACAACGGCATAGTTCTTCCAGCTGCACATGGTGGCCCAGCCTTCCCGGGATTTCACCGAGTTTACCTCCTTTTGTAAGCTTCAATGTTTTTTTGTTTGTTTGGTTTATTTGGTTTTTTGTTTGTATGTTTTCCCCCTCTTTTTTTGCAATCTTAAAAATTGAAAGAAAAAATGAATTTGACAGGATCCCTTTTTTTGCAAAGTTTTACGTCTGTTATTATTATTATCAAATTATTTATATTATTTGCTACACTATTTCACTTTTAAACAAGATATATATAAAGTTTCTACAAGTTTCAGTATGGCATTAAGCCATTCAATCTCTCATGAAGTATTGTGATTCGATATTTATTCTTTTAGCGTACGAGGCATAACATACACATCACATCTGCTCAGGAAACACCCGATTAAAATATTATTAAAAAAGGGGGAAAATCATTTGTCTTATACGGTGCATATTATTTTGTCTAAATTTGCAAATATCCCCGACACTTTTACCAACAAGCAACATCTAAATCAAGTTTGAACAATAACTTTTTTTTTTCAAATTACAGTCTGGAGTTTGCACTCCAAAGAATTGATGGCTCTGTTTCTCTCTGTTACTGGGACTCCACAATGGACAATGATATGGTTAACCCTCGGGAAACTTCTCTCTTCACCACACCTTTAGTAGGAAATGGTAATGGCAATGTCAGGACGGGACCCTTCGCAGGCTGGACAGTGCCAGATGGATCGGTTCTGAATAGAAACATAGGTTCGAGGATGTCTGCTCTGATGACAAAGCCGGCAATAAGTCGATTTCTTACGGACCCCAGCGTTACAAGTCATACACAAATTCTTGTTGGGTATGGACAGAATTTAGCAAATACCCTTGAGGGCCAGCACAACAATGTTCACGTGTGGGTAGGAGGACATATGGTTGATGCAACTGTGACTGCTTACGATCCTGTATTTTTTCTACATCATACCTTTATTGATTATATTTGGGAGCGATTTAGGCAAAAAATTCGACAACTGGGTGTGGATCCCGAGACTGACTATCCCTGGCCAATGAGGTTTCGTCCATCCCCGTTGCATAATCCAAATCGAAATATGGACACATACAGTAATTATACCAATTTGGATGGCTACAGCGATATTTTTGCCACGGAATTTTTTCAGTATGATGATATGCCATCATGCGCTTCTAATTGTGGTAATTCTAGATTTCTAACGTGTCAAGGCGGGGTATGTGTTGCACGAACCGCTAGCGACATCGGCGAGGCGACATCAGCTCAAATAATGGCTAGGACAGCTTTCTCTTTCGATGCAGTATCTGAAGAGGAACCGGAACCAGCCGTGCCATTCCTAGCCTCATTTGTCGATCCAAGAACGATGAATCAAAATGGAATGAATGGGGCAGCAGGGGGTAGTCCTGCAGGAGGTGTACCCTTTCAGTCCTCTATGAATGATCCAAGGACAGGGAATGGTTTCATTAGAAATGGAGCAAGCCTTACCAGAGGAACTCCTGTTGGTTCCTTACAGGGTATGCGTGGTTTCAATACAGGAGTCCTTCCTGGTCGTTTTGGTGGCGGCTCTTCTTTGGCAAACTTTTTGAATCCATCCCTTTCTGGTGTTCTGGGGACGGGTGGTCAGAATTTTGGAACCAGACAAACTAATATGTTAAGATCAGGAATTGGTCAAAATGCTTTAGCGTTGCAGTCAGGGACACAAAACAGGTTCACCTTCACTGGGCAGCCTGGAAATCTTCAACAGAGGTTGTTTGCATCACCTAATAGTCCAATCAGACATCTTTGGAATCCAAGTACACAACAAATTAACACCCAAACAAGGGGGATAGGCATACCTTCCCAAATTCACAATAGTCCTTTCAATCTTGAAGATGTTCGTAGATTGGCTCATCTTCATGATATCCCGATTCAGAATACTTTTACTTTGGACGGCATTTCTGACATTCGTCGTTGGGTTTTCATGCCAGTTCGTATTGTTTATATGAGACCTCCAGGGAATTACTTCGGATCAAGAATCGTGCGTAACTCAAAGATTGTACAAAATGTTGACATGTACTCCCCTCAGGCATACACCGAGTTCATGAATATTTCACCAAAAATATCACCTGCTACCTACCCTAATTGTTACAAAAACCTTGGAGGATCCACCAGAGTCTTTGTACAGTCTGATGGATTTTCATATCGAGGAACATATATGGACTATGCGGTTATAGATGAAAGACAACCGATATCAGAAGCCATCTCCTATGTTGCTGTGAAGAATCCTGACTTAGGAGCTGCACAGCTCTATCTGACAGCCTCCGATTCTTGTGGTCGAGTCTGTCAGCCTCGTTGCCTAGTTCCAGGTTCGAATCCGCCAGCTTACCGACCATGTTCAGGTGTTGTAAATCTCACAAATCGATCACCACGTATGTATGGGCGAACGTATGGAGAAGCTGTAAGAAACAGGTGGAACTTCGGCAATAAAAACTGCCCATCAAGTTACGGAGGGGAAATTTTTATGACATTTTACTGCGACTATGAAAACGTTTGGCCGTGGAAAAACTGCAACAGAGAAACACAAAAGATATCCCCATATTATGGCAAATAGGGTTATTCCAAGTATAGATTGCATGATATCAGCACAACTTTTACAGATACGGAATGCATGAAAACTAAATAAAAGGTTAAAAATAAATTCAAGTGGTTATTTTGGTATTGAAATAGTAGGATGGTATGTAGCAACCGCTAATGATAAAACGCCGCTTAATGATAGAAATATCATTAAGCGTTGCAATTACAGCGCTTAATGACATACATACTGCATTAATAGTTGACATTCTCACCCGCTAATGCTTAATCGCCGCTTAATGAAAGAATTATTTCATGAAGCGTTTGAGAATGTCAACTATTAATGCAATAATTTATGACATTAAGCGTTGCATTGCAACGATTACTGATATTTCTATCATTAAGCGGCGTTTTATCATTAGCGGTTGCTACAATGGTATTCCTGTTCTCAACCAACTTCAACACACAAAGGACAATCTGTGGTTGTCAGCTGCTAGGCAAAAGTTCATAGGCTAACTGTACATGTTCACCAGCAACCTTAATAAATAAGTGTTGAATAAAGTCGAATGAAATTTAATCTAATAAAAGTTACGGTATGTATAAGATTCAATGTATAAACCTTTTGTAAGTCTAAATAATTAGGAAAAAAATACTCAGAAGCACCAGTCGCCGGCGTGGCGCAGTGGTAGAGCGTCCGCTCTAGAGTCGCGGAGTAAGGAGTTGATCCTTACATCGCGGGTTCGAATCCCACTGTGGGACGTGGAGACCGGTCCTTCGGATGAGACCATATAAACCGAGGTCCCGTGTCGAAGTAGATGCTGGCACGAAAAAGATCCCTCACTGCTCAATGGCCCTGAGTGCCGAGTGTAGGTCAAAATTTGCAGCTCTCCACCGGCAAGAATGGCGTCTCCATATGAGTGAAAATTCTCGAGAGGGATGTTAAAACAATACACAAACAACCAGAAGCACCATTTCTTGAATGAATTTATCATTAAATAAATTTCAAGTTACATGGCCAGAAAAACTTAACAACTATACAATATTAGCAACTACACCTCTCCTTCAAAAGAATAACGCAGTATTACAAGATCCCAAGAACCTTAATTTGAACAGATTTAACTACATGTATACTACATGAGGGTGCTTGAAAAGCAATTTGACAATTTGTATCATTTTTTTCTTTATAAGGATGTTTTTGATGCGATATTGACGAAATAATTTTTAGCTGTGTTGTTTCTAAAGAGGGGATTTTCAAAGAATTCATTTGTATATCATTATAGGATGTGAAACTCCCTTGAAGCCCCATTTCTTCTAAAGAGTCATAAATTTAATTTCCTACATATAACGCCTTTAAGGTCAGACGACACGTTCCTCGAATATTCATAATTTTTTCCAAGAATACGTCATTGAAGTATTGGTACTTAAACAAGTTCCCTCTCAAAAAATTGAGGTACCTTACAAGGCATTTGGGCAAGATACCAGACGTTGATATATCTTATATAATTCTTATTGGTAATCTTTTGAATTGCCAAATATTTTTTGGACTTGCTGTTTTAAGACATATTGAAAACAATTTAGAAATCACAAGAAAATGACAATAAAAATAATTTTTGATAATTATGTAATCAAGATATACGAAACATATATTTAAGAAACGTGTCGTCTGACCTTAAAGCATCCATCATCGCTTACCTAAGGGTTATGATTTGGACCAGCTGATTGTACACCTGATGAGAATGCAAGCAAATTGTAAAGATGACACCAAATGTTTTTAGGTATTTTTTTTTTTGCTATACTTTTTTAATGTAAAACTCCGAAGCCCCCTTTTGACATAACCAATGACTGACTCTGGACTCTGGAGCCATGGTATGAACGTGAATGTTCAAGGTTTAGGGTCTTCAGCGTATTTATGGTTTTGATCACTAGAAAATTAAAAGAATCTTCCAGTCCTCATTGGTCTCCCCATGAAGAAAAGTGATGATTTTCTTGTAAAAAATTTAAAATCGCAGAGGGAAGTGTTGTTTTGTCCTAAAATTCCGATTGATGACTTGAGGTAAATTGATTTGAAATCGGTCCTGTAGTACTTGAATAGGTGTTGAAAATATGTCGGATAACACACGCTGCACAAGGACAAGAGTGCATTATATGCTAAATGACCAGAAATGGTCATTCCAGAAGGACACATATGAGTGCACAATGCAGTCTTGAACTACAAGGATTGGCACATTTGATTGAATTTGTTCAGATAAAAATAGATAAAAATTTAACTTTATTTGAATACCATACGTCTGGCGATAAAAAAAATTGCACATTCACTGATAAAAGTGTCAAATTTCTGCATGTTTTTACTGTGCTTTTGTTCTAGTTCATCATAGATCTCTGCATGACTACTGGATTATACGTAATGAGGCCAGTTGGTTATCTGTCAACAGTTTCCTGTGCTGGTGGGTTCAATTGACAAGATAGTAAGAGTTGCCATTCTTCACAGCTGCAAAATCCAATTAAAATTTAAAAGAGTGAATGAATATGATTAAACGCTTTATTTTTTTCGTTTTCATATTTTAGTGCAAATGTAGGTCATTTACATGTCAACAGCACAGATACTTAAACAGGGCACCCCTTCACTTCCCATTCCACAAGGTGTTCAACTCAATTCCAGACATCCCGCACTATTATTTTACATGTGTACTATTATCAGTCATTAACATATTTTATATTGATATAGTTCACTTCAAGAGGCTTTTCTTATGTCAAATAAATCGTTCCATTGATTTCTTCGTCAAGCATCTTTACCATAAACCACTCATTAATCCCTCGAAAATCACTTCAACATATTGTGTAAAAGACTTAACACAATATGCGGTAGAGAGTCCTGACACTGTCACAATTTATTGGAGAAGAAAAAAGTCTTTCGAGAAGAACTCTATTAAGATAATGTAGGTTAAAGCGGCTACAAAATGTGTGCTTTTTCATTCAAATTTACCCAATATGTCATTAAGAAATAAGGTATAAAGTTGATGTAAGCAGTTTGAGAAACAGAAAAATTCTCTACTCAAACAAAATTAACGTAATCAGAATCTGCCGGAAAATCAAGGGTCGTACGAACTGGAGCAATCTTAGATCTGTTTATTTGTACCACGTGAATTCTAAAACGGCACGTGTCTACACTGAAGAGTTTACAATTATAATGAATATTAGGTCAAAGCAATTCTCAAAAACAAATTATCATAACTTTCTGATAAAATAATCTAAAATAATAATCGTAAAGATTTTAGTCTGCATTCAGAAGAAATTAAACAGAATTAAAAGTACAAATGTTGACGTTTTGTGTATTGGGGTCCTAGAAAGGAAAAACCAACTAATCATACGTTATTGCGGCAAATGTCAAACAAAATATTTTTCTGCACAGTTAAAAAAAATTACCATTTCAAATGGCAACAATGTTTGTAAGTCAAAGGTGTACTTTTATGTTGAATTAACACTATTTTATTCTTTGAAAGCGATGGAAAAATGAGAAATGATAACAAGTATCAACAAACCTGTCGAATAGAATCTTCGAGAGCCCTGCGTGAGTATCGCCGAGTTCCCGTTTCTTCCTTATCCAGCGATTATATTAATCCCCAAACTAAATTTTAATTGAGGAAAGTTGCTTTTTCAAGTTCTATTTTCAGTTTCTTTTTATTTTTGGTCGACTTTGTCCATGTAGCAGGCCTACCGGGCTTCCCTCTCTAACCATGCTGTTTTGTTTATGAAAACTACGCATGCGTGCATAGCATGGAATGTGGCACTCGGCACACCTCGGCCGATTCGTACCTCATCAAACCTCGGCTGTATCATGTAAACCTCCATTGAACCGGAGCTACTTTATACACAATATGCCTGCGCCCTACATTTACATGTGCACAGTGTGCTGAATTCGATCCGTTAACAAACATGTGATTCTGTAAAGATACTAAGTGCATTTTTCTTGGTAAGTGTTATTCTTAGTGTAACCTAAATGCTTTTGAAATTTTCATCGTATATCATAAATTATGCATGTTTATTATCGTTTTCAAAGTGTTACGTTTTCCCTAGGCGGTAAACAGGCAGCCTTATCACAAATGTTAAGCGGAGACGCATATCAAGTTTCCTGGTCAGCTGAGGTTTGATGAAGGTAACGGAATCAGCCGAGGTTTGCCGAATGGGAATGTGGAACCCCGAACACGTTGCGATGTATATATTTACGTCCCATAGACAACTATTAATGTGAATGTTCAGGCGCGGATCCAGGAATTTTTTCCAAGGGGGGGGATACTACCCCAGTCAAAAAAAAAGTCCAAAGTCATTTTTATTTGCTTCAGTATATACTTTTAATAACTCTGCAAATTGCAGGGGGTCCGCCCCCAGACCCCTTTAGATCCGCGCATGATGTGTGTAAGATTGAGTTAAGTATCTTATAAAAAGAGAAAGGTGGTGGTTTCCTGTCTACAAAAAAGTGTATGTATCATGCACTACTTTGCGCAATGCTTCATTACCGTTATCGGAGTTGATTAAACCCATAGTTTTAACTTTTATTTTTATCCCACTATCATTCGTTTCCTTCACTTTCCTCCCCTACAAAGCAAATATTATATCATTTCCTGGGTAAACAAGTCCAAATTAAATAAATATTATTTCACAAGTTAGCAAAAAGAGAGAAGATTTTCTTGGTCAGAGCAATTTTTGGAGGCATAGCCAATGTAAAACAAGAGGCCCAAGGGCCACATCACTCACCTGAGCACTGTGGCTAGGAAAAAAGTAAAAATCAATCCAGTATTGAAAAGCTTAAATGCGTAAGTGGTTCCGACCTACCCCTCAAAGGGGGGGGGGTGATTTGAATTAACTTGAATCTACACTATTATGCTTACATATTTCTTTGACTTACTGTGGTTTTTTCCCTAAAAGTTTGAACTCACATTTTGGTCCCACCCTACCCCCAGGGGTCATGATATGAACAAACTTGAATCTATACTACCTGAGGATGCTTCCATATAAATATGACCAATAATATAATAATAATACTTTAATTAAAGAAGGTAACCTGATTAGTGGAAGCACTATTCTTCCCCAGGGCCTTCTGTCAATAAACATTACAAAGTTAACATAGTT